AATCCCAGCCATAGACAGATTTAACGGTTATACAATCATATTTTTTCAACTCATGCATACTCTCAAACTAAAATGTCAACAACAGAAATAAAAACATGATAGTTTAGAGCATAACTCTGCATTTTTATTAAAAAGTTTTGACAAATGACGCGCCTAATGGTTAAACTATCTTCTACTATAATTTGTAATTTATGCAACAACAAAATGTACATGATTTTGATTTTCTGTTTAGCATTTTCTTTTTTTCCTTCATGTGTTGCAATAGCCAATGGTTTTGACGCCATTGGAGGTGCTATTATTGCTTATTAATGAACCGAAAGTCCAAACAAGTGAGAAGTGTAGGTAACATAAAGGCCAATTTGAAATTGTGCAATAATCTTTCATTAAACCGAATTAACTAAGCTAGGGCTTAGAGCATCTAATGACAATGGACCTTTACTTTTAACAGCCAAACAATTTAACTAGTTTTTTTTTTTTTTAAAAAAAAATGAAATGTAACTCCAAAAGTCAGAAAACCAACACTGTCAATTGCCATGGCCAAGCATCAAATTTCCAGTTATCCAACACAATTATTCTATATAGAGCCCATAGACTCTTGGGCCAAGGGAATAACCGTTTGAGTCCATTGGGTTCCTCATATTCTAGTAATTTGGACCACTTAGATTCTACCTAGCGCAGTAGTATAGAATTATTGTGATGACTAAACAAATCAATCTGAAATGAAACATCAAAACATAATAAAGAACCAAGCATAAAATCATCTTCATTAAATCATATGAATTTTGGAGTAAATTAGTTACATGTCCATAAATCAAAACTGAGTTTTATTATTTACACATTACACTACTCATAATCCTCGATACACCAGTTATATCGACACATAAAGTCGTGTCACATAAGCTCACGCCTTATGTTCATTTGTCGAGAAAATCGGCCAAAACATCATCGATCAACTCGTCAAATACCTCGGCCGCAATCTCCATCGAGACATCTTCTTGTTCTTGTTCAAACTTGTTCCAATACACTCCATTCTCCATATCCTTAACATAAGCTTTCCTCTTATCTTCAACCTCCCACAAATAGGACTCATCATCATATTCTCCGGTAATCCAAGATTTTGCCATCTCCATTAACTCGTCGTGAAACTCGGGATCATGAATCTTTCCACTTATAGAAAGCTCGTGCACGAAAAAGTCCAATATCATATTTTCGCTAGTGTGCTGACTAACTATTAGACCGTCTTCTTTGATGTTGTTCAATAATCGTCTTGCTTTCACGTCGACTACATTTGTTCCCTCGGCTCCAAAACCATCTTTATGAGTCGGTTTTGGTTTCGTGTTGTTCTCGAATTCTTGAATTCGCTCTGTGAGCACGCATTTTGTCCCTGTTTTGATGTAACATAACAAGTATTAGTTAAATCAGGTTAATTTATTACAAGAAAAAATATAATATAATTGCTAGATGTATATTTCAAGAAAATATAAGAGGATTTAATTAATTAAATCCGTACTTCCAAAACTGGCAAGAGCTTGATGAAAAGGAGACATGGAAGATTCTGGAACTTTTTGAAATGGGGAACCATCAAGAACTGAAACAGGGCTTTGCTGCTCACAATCTTCCATAGACCAATCCCCCTACACAAGGCAAAATTTGTTTATTAATCTCTTAATTAATTTCACAATATATAATATATTTCTTTTGACCAAGTATTCACAAATAAGTATATATAAAAATAAATTTGAACAATTTAATTTTAATTTGGTACGGTAGTCTACCAACAGTCAGGAGACAGTATAAACATATAAAAAGTACACCATCAATATTAAAATGTGTTACTTAATTATTTATACATATCATGCATCAATTATAGAGCATCAATAATGCAATTAAAATTCTAAACAATTTACCTTGTTGTTCATCAATAATGCACCATTTGTGCCAAGACCACAATTTTCAGCCAAATGCTGATCTTCATCATCATCTTCATCGCCTCGAAAAGTCAAATCCTCCGCCCCGTCACGGAACGACCTCAACCGCAATATGTCCTTGACTTTGACTTTGACTTTGACTTCATCCTCAGTCGATTTTACCGAATCGCCCCTCGACAAATCCATGGATGGAGGAGATTTCGCTATCCTCAAGAACTTAATCACTTTATGGAAAGCCGATAATCTTATGGCTGCAGCCTTTCTCGACCAGCTTCTGACGAGCAAGAACTCGTCGTTTGACTTTGAGGATGCCGTTGACTTGCATCGACCCTTTTTAGAATACATTAATCGGAGCTCGTTCGAATATTGGTAACTATTTTCATCTCGGAGAAAATCTTTGAGCAACATGGGCCGACACGAAGAACCTTGTTGAAGCCTTGGGAAATTTGAGGTTTTTCCATTAATTGATGAGGCCATGAAGGAGATTTGTGTGGCTTTGGTTAGAGATAGAAAGGAAATTTGAGCTACAAATTTAGAAGTTTTTTCTTTTTTTGGATTTAGAGTAAAGTTTAGTAGTTTTGTGAGGTGCATTTATAGGAGACGAGTGAACATTGTACGTGGAGAAAATGACAAACCGCACGCGGACGTAATAGCATGGATGCTTCTAACCACCGAATTTTGGTATTTTATTGTGTTTAAGAAAAAGTAGGTGTGTAAATTAATCTTGTTTCTTGGTCAGTGGTAGAAAAAAATACTTTTATATTGTGTTTGCTGCATAATTATTTTAGATGCTTTAGAGTGCGTTTGTTTATTAAAATGTACATACTCCCATACTTAATATATACTCATAATTTAACTCAACCTCAATATCCTTAATATTATCAATATAATTTAATAATATTAATCAATTATTCTTATATATCACATTAACTTTAATTCACTATTCATCATTTCATATCATTTTAATTACATATCACCTTCAATCATTTATCTCTTACTTTTACATCAAATCAATTTTAATCATTTTATTTTAAATATTATAATAATACAAACTTAAAATTTCACTATCAATTAAACTAATCATACCAACTTTTTAAAATTAATTCTGATTAAAAAAAACAAATAAAAATTTGATAAGTTAATAAACAAGCACGCCCTTATCGTAGACAGTATAAATTTTGGCGGGCTTTTGATGATATACATTTGCGTGATATGATAATTTCCGTGGAAGTTGTACTCAAATTGATTGATATCAAACTACTTAGATAAAAAATTAATGAAATATGCGAGCATGATATGCTAATTTTCAGTTGAAACCATATTGAAATTGGCCGAATTCAAATGTATTTGTGGCTGAAATTTCATCACCGGCCAACATTATCTTCAAATTAATCAAATCTACATACAATAGTACTTATGACGTAGGTCCAAGAAGAAAGATCTTATTCAAATATTTATTCGGACAAAATTATAATTAGATTATACACATATGACGTTGGTTTCACATGCAGCATGAATCTGCGAGTAGCTTGTCTTGATTTTGTTCCTTAATTAATTTTGGATTAGCGATAAGTACACGTTTATGGATTGAGTTGATGTATTTTTGTCTGCATCTGTAGTGTGAGAGGCGTGATTGGATTTATAATATAGTTAAATTAACCAAATTAATTAAATAGTTAGTTAACGAATTTCGTCATCAATGTGCCTTTTTTATGTTTACGAGTAAGATTTTATGATCCCAGGGATTAACTTGAGCACTACTCGTGCAGAAATCGTATTTAAAATATAATTACAGATTGGCACATTAGCTATACAAGATTATGGTCAAGATTGACATATATCTTTATCATTCTTTTTTCTTTTTCATTTTTTTCGGCCGTATATTATGATGCGATCCCAATAAAGTCACTATATAGTACTGAATTTAAATCGAATCAAGAGCTTATCTTTTACATTTTATATATTGTATCGTATATAAAGTTGTTCATGAATATAACTTGTTTCAACTTGTAAATGTTTGAGATAGATTTATGTATTTAAACGAGTTGATCCCCACCAACCAATAAAACTGTGTTAACATCCCTTGTTCGGTTAACTAGTATCGTGGCCCGTGCAATGGAATAATTCAAAATAAATCAAATAAGGAAACATAAATAGAATAAATAATTTTTATAGACAATTAAATAGATTACTATATACAATGTTTATATTGTATATTTTATTTCTCATCATATATTAATATCTTGTGTCTTTTACATAAATGTTTATGTAAATGAACAAATAATGAGCCATGACATTCTTTAAATGAAAAGACCATTGCATGCATTTTAAATTCATAAATGAAGCACCTAATTTCATAGTTCGCCCATAAAAATTTTACAATATAAAAGAGATTTATCCATGTTTGTCTCATTATATGCAAAATTTAAGAAATAGTATCATTTTTTTTATAAAAATGGCTAACTTATTTGACTGGGATGTTTATTGAATTTTTTTTTTTTCTTAAAAACACATTATATATGATTTTGTTGATATAATGAATAATTTATGTAATAGATAGACTATATCTTTTTTTTTTTTTTTTTAACAAATTACAAATCAATAGATCTTATTTGAAGCTGAATTTTTTTTATATGGCCTCTATTATTTTCAATATTATAGAGAAAGAAATAATGGTTAACTTCTCTCATTTTTTTTTTTTTTTGTCCTTAAAAACTTTGCACATATGTTCTCTCTCTCTCTCTTTAAAATTCATGGATTTTCTCTCAAAATTTTGTTGCTACTTAAACAATAAAGATCCTTCTCTTTACTTCTTCATTATGTTATATGTTATGCGCCAGAACCACTATATGGTGTAATTAATTTATTTTTCTCAATATTATGTTATGTTATCATGTTAACATCATTATCATATAAATTAAAAATTGAGGTTTTAAATATTAGCAGTTGTATCATGTGAACATATACGGAAACTCAATTTGCTAGTTTATCTAAATCGTGGTGGTTATGGAACTCCAATTTCTCCATGATTACACCTGTACTAATTCACTTATCTTAAAACTGAAAATATATTTACGCACTATTAATATGTAGGACGATCTTTTATCAAATTTTTGTTATGCTTTAATATTTTCATTTTTTTTATCCTATTAGCATGCTAAACATTTTCTTTGCTGGTATAAAGACCAATCTCAAGTTTTTTTTTTTATTAAAAAAACATTATTTTTTAGAAGAAAAAAACTCTTCTAATAGCTTGTGTGGTTTTATAATTTATAACGTAATTTTATTTATTAATTATTATTTTCTATACATGTAATTACAATTTCTTTATTTGTACACCATTCTTTTATATAAATAAGTACCATATTATTATCTAGTATCTTCATATTTTTAGGAAGGCTTTAAATATAAATTAATATTTAATACACATCATAAATAATTCACCGTGATTCAACATGTTATGTACTTGTAAAAAGAAAATTACTCTGATATTTATGAGAAATCAAAACAGAAAATACATTTTAAACTGCCTATCTATAAGTGACAACAAATCTGGATCCACTTTAACTATTAAACTATTATTAAAAAAAAAAAAAAAAAAATAATTAATGCAAGGTGAACAGTGAACACGTTTAAAAAAATAATAAAAAAATTGAAACTAACTTTCCATAAATAGTAATATGATGAGGGACCCACTAAAACACTTACTATTTTTAGCAAGTGTGTTGTCTAATTATATAGTAAATAGATGAGCAAAAAACGGAAGGATATTGAAAATTGATTATTGCGTTATCAATGCATTATGAATTATGTCCAAAAATCTATATTTAGTAGACAATAAATGAAGATGACGGGAAAACCTTGCTAAAAGTGTTAAATGATTAATCTTTTAATATAATGATAAATGTTTAATGTTTGTTAAGCAAGTCGAATTGAATTGGAATGTGTATTAACTAGAACGGGTTTCAACATGAGCTACTTGACTTGTCTGGACTCTGTACTACAATAATATCCCTAATCATAGACATGCCTAATGTGTTGAATAGAGTCCAGACCAAAAATGACCAACGAACTTTAATTATTAATTGTGATTTCAATTCAGTTTGCTTATAATTTTTTTCTTAAACCACCAGTTTAGGACCGATGGTTGGATTTATAAAAAATTGGATGACCACAATAATTATTAGTTGATAAAACATCTTAAACCAATAATGACTGATTAATAGAAACCAGATAAATATAAAAATTTGTAGCATCAAAATTGAAAACGACAACCACCAATTAATCTCATCGGTTGCGGTTCTAATGAGTCAATTTTTTCCAACCCACGATTAAAAATGGGAACCATAAGTGACTAATGAGAACCATTTTTATACATATGACAATACATGTAATATAATTCTATTTATACATAAAATTGTTGATATTCTTAAACATGAGAAGGGTCTACATGAATATTTCATTTATATATATCTTGTTTTATGTGATTATATGTACACCATTATATACAAATTATTTATGTATATATTGTATAGTAGTAGTATTTTTGTTGTATTTTAAAGTTTTATGGTGTGTTCAGGCCGGGTGAGCCTGTGAAGTTGTTGGACCACAGTATAATGCAATTGATGGGCCTACTTATTAATTTACATTGTTTTCAGAAATTTGATTCTCCATATATGGGGAAAGATCAAATGTATATTTCCTTGTCCATCTGATTGCCCACAATCGGTCGGTGGCCGCATACGTGGCAAGGTCTGATTGGATTCCCTCACGTGCAGCTGCGTAGGTTCATGTTGGGTGCAAAATGAAGAGTTGCTGGTTCATGAATCATGTGAACGTGATCATAAGCGAATCCGATGTTTTTTATTTGCTTTGCCCTTTATTTATTGCTGTGGGTTGATTGCAGTTCTTCAAACTATTGGGCCCATATCATATCTGGACTCGAGTCCGGTGAGGCGATGGGCCAAAATAATTCATCAGCCCATATCCACCCACAACGGTAACTTCCCTTGCTAGTAAAAAATAAAATATAAAATAAATATAACAAAATATTGAAATTCAGTTCTTCCTTGCCTGTTGTGTTCCCTCACCCATTCAATTTCAATGGCGTCATCCTCAATTACAGTGAACTGTAGAAAGTCCATTGCTCTTATCATTCAGTAATAATCGAAAGTTCTATTTATATTTCTATTTTTCTGAAATGGGCGTTGGTGGGCACTTCTGGGATTTGCTCAAACCCCATGCTCGATTTGAAGGGTTCGATTTTCTGAGGAACAAAAGGGTCGCCGTGGACTTGTCGTACTGGATTGTACAGCACGAAACCGCCATTAAAGGGTTCACGAGGAAACCCCATATTCGCCTGACTTTCTTCCGAACCATCAATCTTTTCTCCAAGGTACAACTCCAGTTCTCGTTTTTTTTTTTCTCGGTCCGGAGATTCAAGCGCTTTAGTGCATGTATTGTTGATGATTTTATATTTCTTATGAAAGATGTATTGACTGTTAGGAAGAGCAGAACGAGCTAGATAGATGATTTGTATAAATTGCGGCCCTTTCTTTGTTTATTATCTGTGTTTTCTTTGTTCGTTTTCTGAGTGAGTTTGTTTAAGTGTTTATAAGTACTTTCCACTTTTCCAGCTGTCTAGTTGTACGCTTATGATTTATTGAACTTTTATCAGAAGTTCTGGATGGCTTTTGTCTCCCTGATCGATTAACCAATTCTAGGTTTGAGTGTGATTCTTGTTTTCTGTTTTTGTGTTTTGGTGAAATTAAAATTGATAATTACGTGCGTAAATTGATGAGTTTGTGGACTATAAATACAGTTTGGAGCGTACCCTGTATTTGTACTCGATGGGACTCCTTCGCCGTTAAAGTCTCGGGCAAGGATAATGAGGTTTTTCAGAGCATCCGGTGCTGACCTGTCGAGCTTGCCGGAGGCAGATGAGGGTGTCTCGGTGGAAAGGAACAACTCGTTTAGGAAATGTGTTGAAGAATGTGTGGTTAGTCTAAGTGTTCTTGTTGTTTCTTTTTTTCTGCAATTTTGTGACTTGCATATTTATGTTTTAGAGTAATTCTTGTGTTGCTAGATTTAAAGTAGAAGTTGATACTTTGTGGATGACTATGTCTTGTAGTATACTCATTACTTGTGCTAGTTTTTTTTGGGTTGTCTTCTACATTCTAATAGGTTGCCATTGATATAAATGATTGATGATGTTGCACAAATTATTAGGAATTTAAGTTTTATAATAATAATTAATTAGTTGTAGTCTATCTTCCTTTTCCTTTTCTTTTACTTCCTTTGTGTATGCATGTATTATTGCGGTAGTTGTGAAATTTATTTGTCCTCTGTGATTAGGTGCATTGAGGATAATCTACAAGACTTGCCTTATATAATAATTGTTATATTTTAACAGGAATTGCTTGAACTGCTTGGTATGCCTGTCTTGAAAGCAAAAGGAGAAGCTGAAGCCCTTTGTGCACAGTTGAATAGAGAAGGGCATGTGGATGCTTGCATCACTGCTGATAGTGACGCATTTCTTTATGGTGCACAGTGCGTAATTAAGAGATTCCAGCCCAATTCAAAAGTTGGTACTTTTTCCTCTTTGCAATATTTCAACTCTAGGCCTTGTTATCTTCGATTAATTGCCCTTAACTGGTTTATTATGTTTGAGTTATCTCCCGTTCTTTCCAAAAATAAGTACATTTTTTTTTACCGTTTTCAGTAATTACGTAGTTTCAGTAAATCGTGTAGTTTTCAGTAAATCATTTCAACCTAATGATTTTCATTTGGTCACTTGGTGCTGGTTTCAGTTTTCACTTTTCCTTTTCTCACATTGTTTGTAATTTTCTGTTTGCTCGAGTAGGGCTTGCTCCATGTTATTTCAATGACCAACAAATAATAACATAATTGTATTGTTCGGACAGGAGCCATTAGAATGCTACCATGTATCAGATATCGAGACAGGTCTTGGGCTCAAAAGAAATCATTTGATAGCTGTTTCTTTGTTGGTCGGTAATGACCACGACTTAAACGGTATAACGGGAATTGGGGTAGATAAGGCCGTCCGATTTGTAAAATCCTTTGACGAGGACGAAATATTGAACAGGTTTTCGTTAAGCTACCCTCTCTCGTGTGTTGCATATTCATCCCATAATCATTATGATGAACGATCATTTTTTTTTTTCAGGTTACGTGAGTTAGCTAGAGGTGATATTGGAAGTGAATTTATATGCTTTTCCTCTGATGAGAAATCACCAAAGCAGAAAAAACCCCATTGTTCTTACTGTGGACACCCGGGAAAAAAGAAAGCCCACTTCGAGTTTTCTTGTGAATTTTGCAATTCAATTGCTGGTCAGAGTTGCACGCAGAAATCAGTGGGATTTAAATGCTACTGCACATCATGTGACTCCGTATATAGAGCTTAAATCTTGTCTATAGTTCAATAATTTATTATTGTTATTATTATTATTATTATTATTATTATTATTATTTTGTTTTTCCTTTTGGACATGTGTTCTTATTCCTAGCATTTTGTTTTATGGCCAGGACAGGATAGAAAAAGCCAAGAAGAAAGACTCGACATGGAGACTCACGATCTGCCAAAAGATTGCATCACAGCAAAAGTTTCCTTGTAATGAAATAATACAGATGTATCTGAGGAGCCATAATGGAGTTGGTACGTTACGTTAACTAGGAATTTATATTCGTCGATCGTTTTTTTTTTTTTTAAATAAACAACACACACACACCCCGTGTACATGTGAGGATGCTGAAATGAATGCACTTGGTGAAAAAAAGTGTTCTTTTAAGCGGGTTTGATGGAACCTAATGTGAAAGTTGTTAGATATTCTGCATCATATCAACTTTCTACACAAAATATTACAAAATTACTCCCGAGGTTGTAATCAACTGAAAAGAGACGATTTCTTTTTTTTCAAGTTTTCTTCTGAAATTAAACTAGGGAAATATTACCCTACAATCTACATCTAAAATTACCTAAATAATCAATTTTTATCTTCTATAAAATTATGAGAAAAAAAAAAACGGCCTCTTGTGGCAGATGACGAGCCGAATATAGTGTGGTCAAGCCCAAATACAGAAATGCTAGTGGACTACTTAGCCTATCAGCAGCATTGGGAACCATCTTACATCAGGCAAAGACTAATCCCAATGCTATCGACTATATATCTCCGGAAAATATTCTCGGGCCCAAAGGACGACGACTTGCTTTATGGGCAATACGAATTTCACGGCATTCAGCGTGTTAAAACGAGATACGGGCACAGGTGCTTTGTCGTTAATTGGAAGAAGAAAGGCTCGACTTTTGTTCGTGATGATGATGCTGACTCTGCATTTCCTGAAGAATCCAGTGAACTTGATGAAGTTGATGTCCCGTACATTCGTGTAGAAGGCGGTTACTGTATTTTGTCGACTGATGAGGATATGGAGCTTGTGCAGAAAGCTTTTCCAGAGAAAACGAGCCAGTTCTTGAAGGAGAAGGTGAGAAAATCTCTCTCTCTCTCTCTTTCTCTCTCTCCATGTCTCTCTCCAAGAAGTGTTCTAGAGTTTTTTTTTTTTTTTTTNACAGAAAGGTGAAATTTTAATTAACCTTGAAATTGCTATAAAATAGCATCATATATTTTTATTTTTTTTCCTACATTACTTATACCCCCTTCATAAACAAAAATACATTTCAAAATCAAAACCCCTCTTCACATTTTTTTACAGATAGCCCCCTAATAATCATTATGCTGAATCAAAATCCTAATTGGTTTTGTTACATATTCGACCTTAATAATAATGTGTATAATAATAAAACCATTTCTCTTTCGAAACACTTCAAAGGCTACTTGTAATATATACAAAACTCAATGGTTTGCATGTTGACAATGTTGTCTGAAATGTTGATAGGAACTGAAAGAGATGAAATCGCGAAAAAAGAAAGGAACACCTGAAAAAACCGAGTCACCTGGCGTGCAGTTGAGTATCACTGAGTTTTTTCGATCGTCCAAAACTACAGTTTGCCAGAAAAAGCCTGAAGAAAATGCTGGAAGCAGTCGAGGTTCTTCAGAAGGCAAGAGGAAAGATTCGAGTTCCAGAATTTCAAAGTCTGTCAGGCGCCGGTTATTGTTTGGTTAACTGTATAAGCTTCTACTTGAATAATACGGTGACTGTAAATTCTTTTTAGCGCCTATCGTGATTTATTATCTTTT